ATTTAGAGACTGAGTTCAAATGAGGGAACAGTAAACCTAGGTCAGCTATAAGGAGACTCTGAGGACCCAGCAAATGCACCTGGGATGGTGGTATCCTGTGGAGAGCCTGGAGAAGGTAAGAGTCAGGGATCTGTGACTGGAAACCATAGGAGCCAACTCCGTAAAGCAAGGACTCTGTTGGGATGGGATTGGGGGAGGTAGAGATGCTCAGTGTGGATCTAGCACCAGGAGCCTATGGATGACTCTTCAAGACTCTGCTGTAAGGACGAAGCTGCAGCTGCTTCTGTTATTTCACCCAGGATTCAAAGTCCATGTCTTCATCCCTTCTCCATTCAATGAATGTGTTATTAGTGCTTATAATCAGCATTGCTTAGGCACTGATAATGCATCAGTGAGAAAAACAGTCATTGTTCTTGATGAGCTGACCTTCCACTAGGAGAGGCAGACGATGAGCAGATATATAAATGTATGTGGTGCAGTGGTGTGCACCCTAATGAAAATTGCAGCAGAGTGGGTGACAGCAGGATGGAAGCAGGTGGCAGGTGCCATGTGTAGATGTGTGGAACACTGTGGCTTCTGTGAGAGGTAATATTGGAGCAGAGATATGAAAGAAGTAAGGGACTGAGCTGTGGGCATTGAGGGGAAGGTCATCTCGGGAGAAGGGCGTCTGAGTGGCCTGGGTTGGTCACCAGCCTTCTGATGAATCATGGAGGATGGGGCCCCATGAATGACACATTGTCAGGACTGTGTGCAATAGGGATGATCCCCCAACGTATTAAAATGGAATTGCTTTTACAATAGAAATTCAATAGGCAGAAAGGAAAGATACCCACCACAGTTGAGGGTGGTGGTTCTTTCAGTGAATTCTGTCCCCAACAGAGAGAATGAATGAAAAGGGGAATTTTTTCCACTTCCAAGAGATGGGGACAGCAGGAATGAGGTGGACAGAGAGGCTTTGGACAGTGTCTGGTACTCTGGACTCAACTGAATCCCAATGACTGGTGCAAAAGCAGAAGGGAAGAGGGTGGGGGAGGAAAGATACAGGTGTTCAGGAGACCCAAGGATGAGTGCCCAGACTTCCCATTCTACATGCTGGATGGAGCCTGCCGTCAATAGCACAGTGGAGGTGATTTGTTCTTCTACTGCCATCTGGAAACAACAGAAAACCATTTCTAGATGACACTGCATGGTAGGGGAAGCCAGTTCCATGCTGCTATCACCCTCCGGGGCACTCAGAGAAGAGGGGCTGGCAGGCTGCACACAGCTGTGTTTGCATGGTGGCCTCAGGATGGGACTAGGGTGCAGGTGGTGGTGGTCACTCTTCTCTGCCTCTCCCTGAGTGCGGTCACTTGCAATTCCCTGAATACACCATGCACTTTCAAATCGGTATGCATTTGCCCATGTGTGCTGCTCAGCCTTTAGTGTCTAGTGTTCATGAAACCGTCTCTGTCCTCCATCCCCAGCTAATTACTACTCGTCATTTTTCTCCCATGGTCCACAGCATATTATTGGTGCTTATTGCACCTATTCACTGAACCTTGGATCATAGTGAGTTTTACACATTTCTTTCCTGGAAGACAATACATCAGTTTTATTCACCTTTGCAGTGACCCCTCCTTGTCCCAGTGCCTTGCATTACAGATTGCATGGATGAGTGGGTGATCTCTGACCTCGCAATGTGAATCGTTATTCAACCTTTTATATATAGCTAATACACAGTTATATATATAAACATACACACATATATAGTCTGTATGTATGTATATGTATGCCTGTGTATGTATATATGTATATGTATATAAACACAGGCACACATATACATACATATATATACACACAGGCATACATATACACACATATATACACACAGGCACACATATACATATATATACACACAGGCACACATATACATATACACACATGCATACATATACATACACAGGCATACATATACACACAGGCACACATACACACATATATACACACAGGCACACATATACACACATATATATACACACAGGCACACATATACATACACACAGACACACATATACATATACACACAGGCATACATATACATACATATACATACACAGACATACATATACACACAGGCACACATATACATATATATACACAGGCACACATATACACACATATACACACAGGCACACATATACATATATATACACAGGCACACATACACACACATATACACACAGGCACACATATACAGATACATACACATAGGCACACATATACATATATACACAGGCATACATATACACACATATACATACACACAGGCACACATATACATATATACACACAGGCACACACATGCATATATACACACAGGCACACATATACATACATATATACACACACAGGGACACAGATACATATGGGAGTGATTCCATTGGACTCGCTTGCTTTATGATGGAAATAAATGTTTCTGGTTAAGTTGCCAAATTTTAAAAAGCTTTATCTATATTTTAGGGAGTAGTTGAAGGTTTTTCTTGGTGAATGCTATTTAGTTAATTTTCCTCTCACTGGATAATTGTGTGTCTGGCCAGTACACATCCTGCACAATCCCGCTTGCCACTCCAAGATGTTGCACTCAGGTGCCCCGGCATAAACAGTATGGCAGAAATACCCTTTTCCATGTCTGTGTTTGTAAGATAGCCTCTTCCATACCAGAAGAACTATTTTGGGAGAATGATTCATGTCACATTTTGGCCTCATTACAGTTTTAAGTTGTAAATGATGCGAGTTTGCCTGGAGGTGTAAACATAAGTGTTATCTTTATATGCACATGGGAATACCTGTAACAGAAAAAGTACTTTCTATTCTTGAGTTACAGTCTAGGTTATAAACAAAGAGATTAATAGGATCTTTATCAAAATTCTAATTTTATTGATGCGACGTCTGCTTCTGAAAAAGTACCAATTGCTTGTGGCTCTGCCTCCATTCTCCATTTCCAGACACAGATGGAGAGTCAAATAACTTAATGTCTTATTGTTATAAGCAGATGATTCTATAAAATAAACACTGTGCTTTCTCTTTTGAAATAGTGTGAAAAGTGAGAGCAGGTGTTAAATTACTGTCTCGCTATTTGTGGTTAAAAGTAACAGGAGGTACAAAATCATTCAAAGTGTACTTAGGTGTGAATGATTAAGGTGAAGCCATTCTAATTATTTCAGTTTGCTTTCTGGTAACTTTAAATGATATGGCAAAGCGTCCTTATTTACTCAGTGGTTACAATGCATGATGACAGTGGAAACGAGGAACACTTAACACCTGAGTTTGTTATCAGGCCTTGTACACAACAGTGCCTTACAAGTGTTTATTGATTTGTCCCCAAATAACTGCATTCAAATACGAAAAAAATTAGGTTTGGAATGTGCTTAGATTTTTCTATGATTCTCAAGGAATTCCATATGCTATATTAAAATTTTAAAATTGACAAAATACTACTTATTTTAGAATTTTAAATTATAAAAGTGAAAATTGAAAAATAAAAAATTAAAGGAATGCGAATGAATTTGTTGTTGTTTGTTATATGCCCATTTTTTTCTTTTCTTTCTCATATGCAAAATACATTCAGCCCTTTTTTTTTTTTTTTTTTGAGATGGAGTCTTGCTCTGTTGCCCAGTCTGGAGTGCAGTGGTGCAATCTCGGCTCACTGCAACCTGAGTTCACTGACACCGCAGCCTACCAGGTTCAAGCGATTCTCCCACCTCAGCCTTCCATGTAGCTGGGATTACAGGCATGCACTACCATGCCCAGCTAATTTTTGTATTTTTTGTAGAAACAGGGTTTCACCATGTTGACCACATTGGTCTTGAATTCCTGACCTCAAGTGATCCTCCTGCCTCAGCCTCCCAAAGTGCTGGAATTACAGGTGTGAGTCACTGTGCTGGCCTGGTGGTTTTTTTTTTTTTGAGATGGAGTTTCACTCTCGTTGCCCAGGCTGGAGCACAATGGCGTGATCTCATCTCTCTGCAACATCCGCCTCCCAGGTCCAAGTGAATCTCCCGCCTCAGCCTCCCAAGAGATTAAAGGTACATGCCACCACATCCAGCTAATTTTGTTTTTTAGTAGAGATGGGGTTTCACCATGTTGGCCAGGCTGCTCTCAAACTCCCAACTTCAGGTGATCCACCAGCCTTGGCCTCCCAAATTGCTGGGATTATAGGCATGAGCCACCTCACCTGGCCTATATGCCCATTTTGATGGCAAGTTTTTTGGGTACAGTGACAACCTTTTGATTCACTGACAGTGAGACATATTCTCCCCATCCCCCTTGGACACGTGCTTTAAAAATTATTTTCTGGTTCATCTGTGGTTGGTGTTTTCCATTTGGAATTTTTGACCCATGCCATTTAGGGAGATTTATTCATATTTGAATAAGATTCTTCAATTAACAATAAACAAAATGCACTGTAAGATCTTATTTAATTTTAAAATGGTGGATTGAAAAAATATTAGCAATTTGAGGACAGTTCAGCGGTTTTGTCAATTCAGCAGAATCCAGCCTCATGGCAAAATCTGGCCTTGAATTTGCTCATCCTGCTAGAATCTTCCAGCTATGATGTGTGACACCTACTTTTTTCTTTGTTTTTCCTTATCGTAAGACTTAAAAAAAAATCTTCTCTTCATTATTCAATGACTGCCTCATTAACTAGCCTGGGTCTCTACTTTTAGAAATTCGAATTTAGTGGTTCTGGCGTGGGGCCTGAGCACTTATATTAAAAAAACAAAACAAAAGCAACCAAATGCTCTCCCAATGATTCTGATGCTCTAAGAAGACAACAGGTAGATAAAAGGTAAGCTTCAAAACCAAGATGTCAACATGGACACAAATCTCTGAAGGTCCCCATTTTTGGAAGTTAACTGGATTGAACTGTGGCATGCCTATGGTATGACAGTGAAATGAGAGACCTCCTAACATGTAATGAAATGTCGCTGTATTTCATATTTCCCCTTCTGTCTTCTCAGCCATCATGTATGTCATGGGAGCACTTGGCCCGGCGGTGGGATATTTATTAGGTGGACTTCTTATTGGTTTTTATGTTGATCCCAGAAATCCTGTTCACCTTGACCAGAATGACCCTCGTTTCATTGGAAACTGGTATGTCCTGTTTTCTATTTTTTTCATTTCACTTCTTACTAATAATAGTGAGAGTTATAGTACACTTGGATTTAAAATTTGCCCAATGGGAGACAAAAAATAGCGGAAAGGTGCCTGGGAAGGGTTGATAGGCAGGATAATAACATCCCAAAGAAAGCTATGTCCTAATCCCTAGAACCTATGAAGATGTTATCTTACATGGCAGAAGGGACTTTGCAGTTGTGATTAAGGACTTTGAGATGATTTTAGATGACCTGGGTGGGCCCAGTGTAATCAAAGGAAAGGGAGAGGCAGGAGGGAGGGCAAGGATCAGAGAAGGATAGCTGATGATTCAAGCACAGGTTGGAGTGATATGCCTTGAAGATGGAGGAAGGGGCTGTGAGCAAAGAATGCAGATGGCCTCTAGAAGCTGGGAAAGCAAAGAAATGGGTTCTTCCCTCAGCCTCCGGAAGGCATCCAGCCCTTTCAATCATTTTACACTTGTGATCTCCAGAACTATAACATGAGTCAGATTGTGTTGCCTGAAGCCACAAAGTGTGTGGTACCTTCTCACAGCAGGGAGCTTATACAGAGGGTTTGGGGACAGTAGCTTAATCCGCATTCTTTAGGATCGGGGTGCTTTCTTTATAGCAGAGTGAAGGAAAAGGACTGCTGTGGTTATGTGAGGACATTCCTGTTGACTTTAATCACACCTTTCAGTATCTTTCCCGTGCCTTAAAAAAATATATGTTATTTCCACATTCTTATTGTATTTGCGTGTCTGCTTTACAACCCTCTCCCACTGCCTGGAATGCCAGTCCGCTTTTCCACTTACATTCTCAGTGAAGCTTTTTTCTTGCTAATCTTTTGTTTCCCCACATGTGCTAGAGGTTTAGCTGCTTTCTCAGTTGTCCTGCAAAATCAATAATGCTTAGGACACAGAATGAGAACTTCAACTTTGAATGGCATGTTATTTATCCAAGTAAGAGAGTTGTGGTTGAGCTCTTACCGTCCTCAACTTGAACATAATATGTTATTTCTTCAAAATTGCAAGCACTAATTGAAAATATTGGAGTCCTGAATTCATTTCATGTGGATTGACAATAGCTATACATTGATGAGGCATTTTCATTTTATAGCAGAGAGAATATTTCAGTATTAGAAAACATATGTGCCAAGTAATTACTTACTTGTTTTTTTAACATAGACACAGATAAAGAAAGCAATTACTTTCTAAAGAGTGTCTTAGAGTGCTTTGTTCTCTGTGTTTCATTACATGATAATAACATTGTAACTCTGAGGTTGGTAGGAATCTTATTTAACACTATTGATTTTCAAAGCAGCTAACAGATATTAATTGTTATCCAGGCTTCCTCTTTTCATGAGTAATGCTCTTTGAAGCTGGAAGTGTTAAGTCTGGTAGAATTTTAAAATCGTACAGAAAGGAATTCCCCTGTCAGCATTAGGGGAATAACACAGGAGTTTTAAGTTCTTCACTCATAGTGAAATTTTTGGTCTTCTCTGTTTTCTTTCCAGTTCTGAAATAAATCAGAGTAGAGATATTTTTTCATTGTCACAAAACCAGATAAATTAACTCTATTTATGAACATCCAGCATGTCTTCTGTTTTCTATTTAGGGGTCCTTAAGGAGGGCACAGTGACAGGGAAACATCTGGAGGGAGAGAACCAACTCGGGTAGGAAGAAGGAGGGAGGGCAGGAACCTTAGTCTAACAGTGCTTTTTGCTGTCTTTTAGGAGATGTTAGTTCAGTTGGCAGCAAAATTGAGAGATGAGGGCCGGGAATGGTGGCTCACCCTGTAATGCCAGCACTTTGGGAGGCTGAGGCGGGTGGATCACTTAAACGTCAGGAGTTCGAGATCACCCTGGCCAATGTGGCGAGACTCTATCTGTACTAAAAACACAAAAAATTAGTCAGATGTGGTAGCACATGCCTGTAGTCCCAGCTACTCCAGAGGCTGAGGCAGGAGAATTGCTTGTGGGAGGCAGAGGTTCCAGTAAGCCGAGATCGCACCATTGCACTCCAGCTTGAGTGAGACAGTGAGACTCTATCTCAAAATAAAAATTAAAAAAAAATGGAGAGATGAGGAATATAGACCCTGAAGCCATATTCCCGTGGGTTTAAATCCTAGTCTGCCACCTAATACCTATGTGACTTTGGGGAATTACTCTGTGTCTCAGTTTTTTAATCCATAAAAGAAGGTAGTTACGGTACCTATTTCACAGGGTCATTGTGAGGAATGAATGAGTTTACATGTGTAGGGTGTAAGCAGTTCCTGCTGTAAAGTATGTGTTAGCTATTAATTTAATCAACATTCAAATAATTTTAGCCATTTTCAGTGGCTCAGTGTTAGTTCTGTAAATGATAAAGATTGTCAATATAGAGATATATAATGAGAGTCTATTTAAACGTGAATTCAAATTTTATTGAGTAACTGCTTGTAGCAGACTTCCACCTTGAACAACAACATAGTTATTTGTTGCAATGCTATTTTATACGATGTCTAGCAGCAGTGATAAATTTTCAATAGGTATATGCTGAAAGGACGAAGGAAGGAAGGAAGGAATAATGCTAAATGTAGTGGGTGCTTATTTTGTGTCAAGCATTATACTAAGCTCTGCAAACATTCTCATCTAACCCTTGTAACAACCACAGACAGTCACTGGTGTTATGTGTGTTTTGCAGCTGAGGAAGCTGATGCTCAGGGAGTTGAATAATTTTCCATAAGCCTCAGAGCCAGTGAGAGCTGGGCTAAGAAACTTACTCCGGAGCAGAGCTCTTAGTCCATTCTCTTAACTGGCCTCTTTGTGAATGGTCTCTGAGTCATGGTTCATGAAAGGGATTTAGGTAGCCTGGCTTTTCAAGTGTCGCTATTATTGACGTGCCTTTTTCCAACATGTACTGCACACTTTTGGTCTTACTCAGCTTTTCTCAGGGTCCTCTTTAGCATCGTTGTTATATCATGTGTTGTGTCAATGTTATTGGAGACTGTTGAAGAATGTGAGTCGGTTTGCTCTGCTTTGAAATGACCCCACACTTTAATGTTATTTTTGTTTATTTGCTATAATCCCCCCATTTTCTGTTATGCACCTTCACTTTGGCTATTACGCATATATTTTTAATGTTTGCATATAATTTTAAGTCAATGGCTGGGGCTGGGATGGGCAGGGAGGCCGAGTGCAATGCTATGTAAAAAGCATGCCGGGCGCAGTGGCTCATGCCTGTAATCCCAGCACTTTGGGAGGCTGAGGTGGGCAGATCACTTGAGCCCAGGAGTTTGAGACCAACCTGAGCAACGTAGTGAGACCCCCTGCTTCTCTACAAGAGAGTAAAAACATTAGCCATGATGCCTGTAGTCCCAGCTATTTGGTAGGCTGAGGTGGGAGGATCACTTGCACTTAGGAGATCAAGGCTACAGTGAGCCATGATTGTGCCACTGTACGTCAGCCTGGGCAACAGAGTGAGACACTATCTCTAAGGAAAAAATCAAAATAAATAAATAAACAAATAAAAGGCAAATCAACCACACAAAACTATCATGAACTGATTGCTAATTAGGGGGCAGACGTTTTATGACGTCCATTCAAAACACTGTCTTATTTAATTTTAATGACCCCCAAAATACTTATTACCCCTCTTATAGATAAGAAGGCCTACTTGGAAAAGCAAAATAATTTTCCCGGGATCCTATAGTTAGCAAGTGGTAAAGATAGAATGCAAACCCAGGTCTGTCTGAAGCCACAGCCCATGAGCTGTCCCCTATACTACACTGCCTGCCCTCTTCTGGATAGAGTGTGAGAGCCAGGGAGCTGCAGGGATTCAGGGGACTGGAATGGAGAGACTCCAGAGGTAAGTGAGCAGTGCCTGATGGGTAAGGACCTCATAAGCAGCCAAGTATTAAGGGGGCTAGGCATGATCAGAGCTTGTTCTCTGTAGACGCATCACTTTCTTTTCTTTTTTTTTTTTTTGATATGGTTTCGCTCTTGTTGCCTAGGCTGAGGTGCAGTGACACGATCTCGGCTCACCACAACCTCCGCCTCTAGGGTTCAAGCAATTCTCCTGCCCCAGCCTCCCAAATAGCTGGGATTACAGGCATGTGCAACCATGCCCAGCTGATTTTCTAGTTTTAGTAGAGACAGGGTTTCTCCATGTTAGTCAGGCTGGTCTTGAACTCCTGACTTCAGGTGATCTGCCCACCTCAGCCTCCCAAAGTGCTAGGATTACAGGCATGAGCCACTGCGCACGGCCGACAGATGATCTTTTTAATTATTATTATTTCTTTGAGACAAAGTTTCGCTCTTGTTATCCAGGCTGGAGTGCAGTGGCGCAGTCTCAGCTCACTGCAACCTCTGCCTTCTGGGTTCAAGTGATTCTCCTGCCTCGGCCTCCTGAATAGCTGGGATTACAGGCACTTGCCACCACACCCAGCTAGTTTTTGTATTTTTAGCAGAGACAGGGTTTCACCATGTTGGCCAGGCTGGTCTCGAACTCCTGACCTCAGTTGATGCACCTACTTCGGCCTGCCAAAGTGCTAGCATTACAGGTATGAGCCACCGTGCCCAGCCAACCTTTTTAAAATTAAAACTGTCTCTTTCAGTTTATTATTTAGCAGATATTTTTGAGTACCTAATCTGTGTCAGGCACTGGGCTGGTGATTACATTCTGAATAACTGAGATTGCTGGAAGTCTGCCCCAAACAATCTTCTCAACATAAAGCCCTTTCCTATCTTAAAATCTTCATTTGATATAACTTTAAATCTTTGAAAATAGCACACTGAATTATTAATGACTAATTGTGGGAATCATTCTCTCAACTGTGACCTTTAGCAGCTGAAAACAGGATTGCATTAGAAACATTATTTTATAAAATGAATTTTCCCTTTGCAATGGATCTATATTCTTACTGGATTGAATTCAACGTTAATACTTACAATGCTGCTTGCATTCTGGTTATAATTGATGTGAACGTGTTGAGCATTTATTAACTTGGAAGCTTGAATGGCAGAGTTTGGAAGTGAGGAATCTTAGTTAGAATATGGCTGCCCTGTTAGGTAGGGTCAGGGGCCTCTGATCGCTAAGGAAAGGTTGAAAGGGGACTGAGAAATTGCCTCATGGGGAATCATGCAGTCAAGAAGCCCAAGGCCCTAACACTACAATTTCAATTCTGCTCTTTGTGGTTGCTTCCTAGTGCTCTGCAACGTGACAACCTCAGGTAAATTTAAAGACAGAAATCTGAGTCTAACAGCTCCTGTTCTACTTTTCTTAGGGTGCTTTCTGATACTCATTAATTTTCCCTCTCTCAATTTTGATAGCACTCATAATCTATACCATATAATCTGACATTTAATTACATGCATTTGCATTTCTTAGAGGTTGTTTCTTATATTTTGGCTTGCTTATGAATAGGTTATAGGTTCTTGAAGGCAGGGACTAAGTCTAAATGTCTTTGTCGGTAAACCACATACTTGGTTAAGTATTGTGAAGGCCAGCTAAGTGGGTGGTGATGCATTCTTTTTTTTTTTTTTTTTTTTTTTTTTAGACAGAGTCTCGCTCTGTCACCCAGGGCAAAGTGCAGTGGTCTGATCTCTGCTCACTGCAACATCCGCCTTCCGGGTTCAAGCAATTCTTCTGCCTCAGCCTGCCCAGTAGATGGGATTACAGGTGCCCATCACCATGCTTGACTAATTTTGGTATTTTTAGTAGAGACAAGATTTCACCACGTTGGCCAGGCTGGCCTCAAACTCCTGCCTCAGCCTCCCAAAGTGCTGGAATTACAGGCGTGAGCCACCGCACCCGGCTAGTACATTCTTAAGTGTTTGCAGAAAAATACTTGAATACTATCAACAATTTAAAACATATTTCACATGGGATATTAATGCCTTTCTTCTGAGAAAAAACGTTTATATTGGCCCGCATAACATGCTATAGTCTACATTATTTTTCTATTGAATTTATAATTTAGTCATTTATCATAAAATACACATTGTAGAAGGTTAACAATGCTAGCAGAACTAACCCATTGGTGCCCAAAAATACTTGAATGAAATTCTAATTAGGTTGCTGATTATAATATGCAGTATAACACTAATATAATTGCAGATTTCTCATTTCTATCACAGAAAAGGAGAATGCCTTCATTTTCCTAGTTTGCCCAACTTCCTATCTCTTTACAATTGATTATAAAGTTTCCTCGAGAATTTTATCACCACGAACTTCTACTTTACTAGTTATTTGTTCTCAGCCACAAAAGAAAAGCCATAAATGCTATTCACATTTTCCAATTTTTAGGTGGAGTGGATTCCTCCTTTGTGCCATTGCAATGTTTCTTGTGATATTCCCAATGTTTACTTTTCCAAAAAAGCTTCCACCTCGACACAAGAAAAAGAAAAAGAAAAAATTTTCTGCTGATGCTGTTACTGATGATGATGTTCTGAAGGAGAAATCAAACAACAGTGAACAAGTGGACAAAAGAGTTTCTTCTATGGGATTTGGAAAGGATGTCAGAGGTAACGTATCTCTCTTGAATAAATACGTGCATGGTGCTTTGATCAGTGCTACTCAAAGTGTGGTCCTAGGCCACTGCTGTCTACCTACCATCTGTGGGTTGGCCTGTGGCCAGATAAATACTAAGATTGAGAGTAAATGTTGCAAAACTCTTTTAGGAACTTGACAGAGTAATTTTTTGTCCGTTGTATCTAATAATAGTTTAAAAATTAAGCTTATATTTTGTATGTTGTTTAAAAAATTAGTTTTAAAATAATTCATCATTTTTGTCTTTGCAAAAGTATTAGTAGATGATAGACTAGAAATAATAATTTTAAAAAATGATTCCTCCTCACACACATTGTTTGAGAAGCACTGATTTAGATCATAAAGAAACAGATGTCTATATATGTTATTTACTATAATTAGAGAAGTCTGATTTTTAAAATATTAAAAATCAAGTGCGTTGTGCATTGGAGGGTTTGTTTCAGGGGACCAGTGACTTTGGTAGTGTGGTTTCATGCATACCTAAGTATAAAACCTACCACTAGAAAGGGATCTCACTTAACAGCGGCTTTCTCAAGTGCCTGCATGTGGCCCCAAAGAAGGGAGGCCAGGAGATGGGCCTCTAAACCCAGTGTGAAAGCATTCAGAAGGTCTTGGTGATGTATGGTTTATTTTTTTCATTTTTATTTCTTTTAAAAATGCTAGTTATATTAAATCTAGATTAGGCCATCTATAGCCTAAACAACTTGAAGTGATCAGGACCAGACAATATTTATTCAGTATTTTGTGTATCTGTTGAATGACAACAAGTTCCTTTAATTCCAGAAAACTATAATGCTACACTCCTATTAATTTCAGTTTAGTTCCCAACATTCTGTAAATTGATTTTTTTTGGTATAAATTATGAAGCATAATATTTACTGAGTGCTTTCATGAATCAAGGTTGTGTTAGGTAAAATGTACCTGGGCACATTATTGTCTCATTTTGACTGTATACACACTGTGGCAAAGAGGAACATTTCCAGCCTAGAATAAAGTTACTCATATGTTACAGACATGTCCCTACAGCCTAAGAATAGTAATAGTTAGATTAGACCATTTTTAAAGACGATATTGTTTGAAAGCAAATGAAATGCTACTTCATTAAAAATGCTTCTTTGCAGTTACATTTTAGATTTGACCCTCTCCCTTTCCATGATGTTGTGACATTGTGCTGTTTTGGAACTGTATGTGACTTCTTATGCTCTAATAACATAAAGCGTTCTCTGGACACTGGCATGGCCTGGTCTCTTCCAATGTGTACCAGCCCATCACTTTTTTGTGAACCTATTATAGACCATTATGGCTACTATCAAAAGAGTGATTTTTTTTTTTTCATAACTCAACTGAGACAAGCTTGATGTCAAAGAATTTAAAACACAGCAATAGCCTTTGAGGTTTTTTTTTTTGAATTGGAGGCTCACTCTGTTGTCCAGGCTGGAGTGCAGTGGTGCAATGTCCTCTCACTGCAACCTCTGCCTCCCAGGTTCAAGCGATTCTTCTCCCCTAGCCTCCCGACTAGCCGGGATTACAGGTGCCCACCCACACTTTGCTAAGTTTTGTTCTTTTTGTTTAGTACAGATGGGGTTTTGCCATGTTGGCCAGGCTGATCTCAAACTCCTGACCTCAGGTGATCCACCCTCCTCGGCCTCCCAAAGTGCTGGGATTATAGGTGTGAACCACTGTGCCTGGCCAGCCTTTGAGTCTTCATTTATGGAGACTATGAAAGTAGATTCAAAGGGAGAAATAAAGTCATAGGTAAGATAATATCATGTATTTTATATAAAATTTCACATGAATGTGAAACATAAATCACCTAGCTTAGGGTTGGGTGACTTGTATGTGAAATACATGATTTATTGGATAGTAGAAAATGGGAAGAAGATTGATATCAAATATCAACAGCAGATACAACTGTTGATAGGATGAGGTTCTTTTGGAAGATGCAGTGTAGACATGCTATCAATGGCCTGCCTGCATTTTTGCACCCTACCGTTTTCATGGCAGAGGTCCACTAACTGCCAGGACTGAAATGATTTGCCTGAAGGGTTTTCTTTGTGAGCTGGGGAAACTGCTTGCCTCCTGCTTGAGGTGGTCTTCAGGCACCACGAAATGAAACCCCTGGCCTCCCATGCTCCAGAGAAGTTTTAACCACATGACTGATAAACACTGCAGCTCCTGCCCCTCGTGGGGAAGGGAATTCTGAGGTGTGTTTCTGTGTCTTTCGTGGGCTCTTCTTCCTTCTAGTGCACTTTGATTGCACGCCCCACCCAGTGTTTCCTGAGTCGCCTAAATAAATTACCTGGATGTGAACTCTTGTCTCAGGGCCTGCTCCTAGGGAACCCACACTTAGATATGCTGGCTCAAAAGGGATCAAGGCCATTGAGAATTTAAAAGTGATTTTTGGGTTTGCTTTTCTGTTTTCTCTATGCTCAATTTGATGGTTCAAGATATTTTCTTTTAAAAACAAGAATAAGAGGGGTCTTGGAATGATGATGGGTAGTTGGCTTATAAAATCTGTTTCTATTCTGATTTTCTTGTTAGTCTTTTTGATAAAGTCTCCTTTTTTAACTCTATGCCTTGATTATCATGACTGATTCTACTTCTGTAGCCAAAGCTTCTGATTGGGACACACAGCTGATTCATTTCATTATTTCCACTTGTACTGGATTCTCTAATCATATCAAGACTAGAACTTCAAGAGACACATTATCTTGTTAGAAAGAAATACCATTTTAATTGAATTACACTAAAAATGTTTTGCTAAAACGACATTGATGGTATTAAAATAATGTTCGATTAGAATATTTAAAATTAATTTATTTTTATCTTGTATACATTGATTTCCTTTAGTGTATTTAATACATATCACCTGAAGAAAGTGACTAATATTTAATATAAGTTTCCAAAGGACAAATTAAATTCTTAGGAATCATTCTGCTATTGACATAATTTTAACAAAGCTGAGATGTATTATTGAGGTCTTGCTTTAAAGAATGGTTCATAGAAAGGCCCATTTGGAGTTAAATTTGAGTTTCAGTCCCAGATCCTCTTTTCTCTTCTATTTTCTAGAATAGGGCTTCTTTTGGTCTTAATTTTAAAATTATTTATTCTATTTTATTTTCTTGAGACAGAGCCTTTCTCTGTCACCCAGGCTGGGGTTCAGTGGTGTGATCTTGGTTCACTAAAGCCTCAACCTTCCAGGCTTAAGTAATCCTTCCTGCCTCAGCCTCCCCAGTAGCTGGGACTGCAGGCCTGTGCCACCACACCTAGGTAATTTTTGTATTTTTTGTACAGATGGGGTTTCATCATGTTTTACAGGCTCATCTGGAACTCCTGGGCTCAAGTGATCTGCCTGCCTTTGGCCTCCCAAAATGCCAAGATTACAGGTGTGAGCCACCACACCTGGCTTCTTGGTCTTTATTTTATATTTGAAATTTGGATACCAGTATTAGTACCTTCAAAGAGGAGGTAGAAGTTGGTAACTTACACTTCCTTAAAAAGACAATTATTGGTGAGGTGTAGTTGCTCATGTTTGTAATCCCAGCACTTTGCGAGGGTGAGGTGGGCAGATCACCTGAGGTCAGGAGCTCGAGACCAGCCTGGCCAACATGGCAAAACCCCATCTCTACCAAAAATACAAAAATTAGATGGGCATTGTGGTGAGCACCTGTAACCCCAGCTACTTGGGATGCTGAGACAGGAGAATCACTTGAACCCTGGAGGTGAAGGTTGCAGTGAGCCAAGATAGTGCCACTGCACTCCAGCCTGGGCGACGGAGCAAGACTCCGTCTCAAAAAAAAAAAAAAAAAAAAAACCAAGAAAGAAAAGAAAATTATTTGAGCCATACAGAATGGTGCCCTTTTGGGAATTTCTACTGCAGAGAATGATAAAAGGAAATATACTCCACCTCCACATTTTAATGACAGACATTGAGAAAATCTGACTCAGTGTTTTCATACTCTTATTATAAATTATGCAGGAATAACACTGATTTAAGACACCACAAAGGGGAAAGTAGAATTTTCAATATGTCTGCATTACATTCCACAAAGAGATTAGCATTGATTCCATCAAAAATCTTACCAATAAAAATAAACACTTAAAATATTTAAGTGAATCCATTTCCCCGAGCTTTGAGGTCCAGCATTTTAAAGCATTTCAAATTTAACCGGGCAGCTTTCTATCTAAAAAACTTTTGGTGGCAGTTAATCATAGAAGGATTTTGCTTTCTATGTCCACTTTTTAATCTTTGAAGCTTAATTGTGTTATTATTATTATTTTTTTTGGGAGGAAGGCAGGAAGGGAGGGAAGGAGGACGGTGGGGAGAAAGGAAGGAAGGGAAGAAGGGGGGAGGGAGGGAGGGAAGGGAAGGAAGGAAATCAAGCAATGAGAGAGACATTGCCGACCTGGATCTAGAGGTTTACAAGTTGATTTCTTTTTTTTGAGAGAAGGAAAGAAAACAAAAATAAGTAAAGGAGAGGAAGAAAGGAAGAGAAAGAGGGAGAGTAATGGAAATATTGCTTTATTCTGAAAAAAATTGGGTTTTAATAATGGCCAATCAATGTTTCATTTAATCTTATGAGTAGGTGTGATGTGGTATTGACAAGAATGTATATTTTGTGTATTTGAAGTGGGGAGCTCTATAAATATTTATTAAGTTTACTTGTTCTGGATCTGAGTTCGAGTCCTTGATATCCTTATTAATTTTCTGTCTCATTGAATCTAAGTCTCTATGTATCTGGGTGTTAGGATCGTTAGCTCTTGTTGCATTGATCCTTTTACCACTGTATCTTTGTTGCTTTAAAATCTATTTTATCCAATACGAGATTTGCAACTCCTGCTTTTTATTTATTTATTATTTATTTTTGCTCTCCCTTTGGTTGGTAAATCTTTCTCCATCCCTTTTTTGAGTCTTTGTGTATCCTTGCATGTGAAACAGGTCTGGATGTAACATGCCGTTGGGTTTTGGCTGTGT